CTACCACCCAAAAAAAGACGTATGTCTAGGAGACTAGCCATCAAAAGAAAGAAATATGAAAGTTAAAGAGAGGATATGCCAGGGAAGCAAAATATGAGTAGGTAAGGGTTAGTTATCACAATTAGCATATGCAAGCAAAAGGGGAACAACAAAAAAACTTGTGACAACTCTTTTCCGAATGAAGGTTCGACAAGTAAAGTAGAAAAAAAGTAATATGCAAGAAAGAAAACTAAAGTCGATGGTGTATGTGATCAAGGGACTCAACCTCCAAGGGAGTATGTTGACCAATTGCATAGTACACAACAAATGAAGGCACAAAATGAGGCCAAAGGTCTTAGTGTTCATCATGTTGTGATTTTGGAAAAATTAATAAAATGTGAAGCATGTAAGTTTAGATGATATGTATGTAACGACCCAAAAATCATGTCCAAATTAAGTTACCCTTTGCCACTCTTACTAGTCCTTGTTAGTGTGTCGGTTAACCACACGCGCTCCACTAACGACTTGGTAAGGTACAAAGTGTAATTTAATGGACTAGCAACTATTTCACATTTTCCTAAAGTAACTAAGATTGGGAATTAATAAAGGTTTAGTTACTTTATAATTTCATTATACTTTTAATGAGGATTAAGGTCCTATCGTACCCGTTTGGCTAACGACCCTCCACCAATCAAGGAAACGGTGGGTGAGAGTGGATACCCATTAAGCTGCCATTTTATAGGAAACAACCTTATACCCCCCTTATAGACTGGCTTCGTGAATGAGGCCTACTAACGGTAAGACTGACTTATTCTTATACATATCTATATATTTAAACTTTTAATATAATAATAGTATAAGGGTTGAATTTTAAACTTTTTAAAACTCTAAGGTTCAATTTGAAATTAAAGTATTAGAGTGTAAGACTTTACAAATTCCAAAACTTGAGGGAAAGTATTGAAACTATTCAAGACTTTTCATTTCATAACTTATGAGTTTAATGGTCCATTAAAATGAAGACTCTTCATTTTATGTAACCTCTTATTCTTTAATGACACTTTTAAAGAAGTGACTTTTGGTTATGCATAACTTGAGGACAAGTTATGGACTCCATCATTAGGCATTAAGATCAAGAATCATATTAACAAGCAAGTTACACATAATTCCTATGATCTTCTTAAACTCATAAGAACATGAACATTCATATCAAAATTTCAAGAATCATATCAACATATATAAAACATGGAATTTTGATATTAGCCATTGTAAATGGATTAGCATAAGCATTACACCATCTAAAACAAGTTTTAAAACACCAAAATAGGTTAGGGTAATGTTTCTAGTCCATTTCCAGCAACAAAACTCGAAAATCTGCATTTTGAGGCTCCTACTCGTCGAGTGCAAGAACCTACTCGACGAGTAGGATGAATTTACTCATGGACTCGTCGAGTCCCCCCATGGACTCGGCGAGTTCATGCTGCATAATGCAGAAAATTGAGTTTTTCCAACAAGTTTGCATCAAGTATCAAACAAACAAACCTAGGCTCTGATACCACTGATGGGTTTTGAGCATACTAACACTCCTATGGTGTACATGCAACCCTAGAAACCTTGGATCTATGTTTTACTATGATACATGCAAATTTGATTTCCAAGGTTCATAACCTATCTAGCATAGCATGGGAACTTTTAAACATAAATACTAGTTGTAGAACATACCTTATGTTGTTTGGAATCCTTGAAAACCTTGTGAGCCTAGCACCTCAAGTGTGATGCCTCAAATGTCTCACACAACACCACAATACTTGGAATAATTGTCATAGAATGATTAATGCCAAGGGTATCATTGTCATAGAAAAAAAAGGACAAAACTGCATCATTGGTCTCTGTGGTATTCAAAAAACTTTGGATAGGGTCCAAAAATTTTCCAACTTGCATGAAATGTCCAAAATCAAAACGTTTCCGTGATTTAGGTCCAAAAAAACTTGAAAAGACGATTATGCCATTTTATTTTCTTTTTGTATTTTTCATAATTAATCTAATACTGTTTTAAATAAAAAATAAAGAAAAAAAAATTATCCTCCACCCTACCCACCCACCGTTCTCTCTCTCTCTCTCTCTCTCTCTCTCTGGAAATCCATACCAGAAATCATGGAAACCCACACCAAAAATTCAATCAACAAATTTCAAATCCATAATTCTCTCTTTCGAGCTATTTGATATATCACAACTTTGTACAATTGGGATGGATCGATCAGTACATTATAATCTAGCCTACCTCTCTTTACTAGTAATGCTTATAATTTCAGGTCTTTTTCTCTCACAGTTGCAGTTGCAGGTTAGAATCCAAAAGAAAAAAATGATATGCCCAACTCCTACTCCGAATCTGATTTTTACAGGTTTGAGTGTAAAGAAAACGAGAAAAGTGGTATTCTTCTTCCTCTCTGAGTGATTTATGTATTGTAGTTGCAAGTGGGTACTGTAAAGAAAACGAGAACAATGATATACCTACCCCACCATAAATCTTCATCTTCGCCCGTCTCTGCCTCCGCTTCCGCCTTCGCCTTCATCGATTTCTTCTTCTCCACCTTCGCCGACCTCTGCTCTTCTCCACCACAGATCGATATAATTGTATTGATTGAGTTGATTCACTGCCTTGGTTTTTACTGATGAACTTGAATCCCTAAATAAAATCCAGAAGTTGAAGTAAAATCATTAAATGGTTGTCGATTTAATCACTGAAGATGGAGCTAGGGAAGTTGTGATGTCGTCGATTTAATGGTGGCGGTGGAGGAAATCAAAGAATAACAATTTAAAGTTGTGTATTCATGAGCATCTGATAGGGTTTACCTGGGATAACATAAAGATTGCATTTTCTTTTAGCTGGACTTGACGAATTAGGGTTAGGGTTTGTGATTGGGACATGGACGAAAGCTGTGAGAGAAGGATCTAATAGTGATGATGAAATTGGTCATGGTGTATGACTCTGACCATTTGATTCATCAGGTGTTCTTCAAAGATAATGAAACCCAACAAAAAAAACCCAGTAGTTCACGAATAAGATGAAGTTCAGGATTTATGTCACTGTAAGAGAGAGAGAGAGAGGGAGAGAGAGAGAGAGAGAGAGAGAGAGAGAGAGAGAGAGAACGGTGGTTGGGTGGGTAGGATGGGGAATATTTTTTTTCTTTTTTTTTATTTTTTAATTGAAATAGGACTAGAATAATTATAAAAGTACAAAAAATAAAATAAAAGGGTATAATCGTCTTTTCAAGTTTTTTTGGACCAAAATCAAGGAAATGTTATGATTTTGGACCGTCCATGCAAGTTGGAAACTTTTTGGATTCTATCCAAAGTTTTCTGAATACCACAAGGACCAATATTGCAGTTTTGTCGAAAAAAAAGTGTCATTGTATCTCTAAAAACTTATAGTGGCACAAAAAAAGTGTCACTAAAAATAGGCTATAGTGGCACAAAATCAAAGTGTCACTAAAACTTTGTGCCACTAAATGTAATTTTATTTGTAGTGACTTGAAACAAATTGATACAAACTACAACACCAAGATACATACTTTATCTAAACTGCAACATATACACTTATATTAAACTAACACATAACATCAATATTTTACTTGACATTGAACATCAATACACATACAATAACAAAACTCATAACTACCTTTGCTTATCCTAGACTGTTGCACAAACAACTGATTCCCAAACACTTTGGTCTTCTTTTTATATTTCTACAATTTTAACTTGTATCTTCTGACCTCTTCCTCCATTTCTTCAAGCATCCGTTCTTGTTTCTTTATTGTTTTCTCTTGAGTAAGAACTTTCTGATGAAAATTGTATAGAATTCAACGATACCAGGTTGAAAATTCTCGATCAGCCCAATCAAAAAATTTGCGGCTTGGCTCCGATGTCTAGAAATTAAAAAAAAATAGGAAAGAAATAAGAAAAAATTATAAACACTTCCCTGAGAATAACAAATTTTAAACACTTACTAAAGAACAAGGGAAAACATCAAATCTCCTACCTGGATTCTCTTTGGTCAAACTTGTTATTCTTTTTGTTTGCTTCTTACAAAAACACGACCCTCCTTCCTTGGAGGAGGATCGATCCCCCATATTGGAGCTCGTAGAAGAAGATGCAGACATCAGACGATAGATTTGAGATGTACTTTTGAGCCCCGATTGTCATATTTATATAATAGAATGCCCTAATTCTATGGTGATAATGCCAACTAGGATGATGACATGTAATGCCAATTTGGACCAAAATTAACCACACCATCAAGTTTTGGGTTTTTACCCGATACGGTGACTATCAAGTTCAATGACCAATTAGAGCTTAAATAAAGTATAAAAGTATAATGACCAACAAGGACTTAATTCTAAATAAAATATAATAAATTTTATCTTTTATAGTTTCGCAGCCCCACTATCAAATGGGAGACCCGGCTGCAAAATGCTCAAAATGATGACCTTTTGAAGCATTTCACATGTGGGTCCCCTATTCAGCATTATGATCCCTCGTTTCACATTTGGACAAAAAAAAATGGTTATTAGCTTATTGCCGGAATTTATGTATTTTTGTTTATTTCTTTAGAAAAGTTGAAGTATAATGGCTATTTTAGTCTCTCATTGCTTAATCATTTTTCTCTTTACAAAAATTTGAAGTCCATCTCTTAGTTTCTCCTTCCACCATCCTTTCAATTTGTGTTAGCTTGCATCATGTTTTCATGGCGGCCATCTTCAAAAAAGAAGGTGGATGTTGCAAGTTGTTATGGTGGTACCGTCCTAAAAAGTAATTTCACCATGGAGGTTCTTATCTTCTAAGTAGTGAATAGTGATGAATAATGAGGAATAATTACAAAAAAATTTTACAAGAAGAAAAAAGTACAACAAAATTAAGCATAAAACTGAAGATGAAGAAAAACAAGGACTTGTGCATCGATTATAGAAACATCCAATACCTAAACTAAAAACCAGATTGCGAGTCCCGGGCGAAGGAGTTGATAATCAATGCCATGAAGGAGGTAATATTGGATTTAACACATCCTTGAGGATCTCATCTTCAAAGTGATGATCAATCAAAACTAAAATTATGTCAGATTGTCAGGTAACTGATCTTATATGTCGCCTCATAATGTCCATAACTATTAAAAAGAAAAAAACACGATATTCAAACTTGCATTTTCATGGCCTTCTTGAGTTGGAACACAACCTCAGCAATTGTAGGCCGTTCTTCCCGAGTTTCATGCAAGCATCGATAAGCAATAGCTGAAAACTTACTCAACACTCTTGGTTTGATATCTTTCTTTATTCTGGGATCAATGATCTTGTCTAGCTCTCTTTTTTTGTAGCAAGTTGGGGCCAAATGATGGAGGAATCGCTGCTCATCATGATAATTCAAAGCACAAGCCAGCCTTCCACACAAAACTTCAAACAAAACCACACCAAACGAGTAGACATCTGATTCTTTTGTTAGAAAACCTGTTTTTTCGTATTGTGGGTCACAATAACCATGTGTGCCAGCAGGGTTAGTGATCACCATGGTGTTTTGTTGATTTGCTAGTCCTATCCTAGCCAACCCAAAATCTGCAAGTTTTGCATTCCAATTCTCATCCAGCAAAATATTTGCACTTTTTATATCACGATGTATTATTCTGTGTTTTTCTGCAACGTGATTATGAAGATAGTCCAATGCAGAAGCAACATCAATGCATATTTTGAGGAGTTGTGGCCATGATGGTCCACCCGACTTAGCAGTGTTACGTAAATATTTGTCGAGGCTTCCATTGCTTTCGTATCCATAGACCAGAGTCATCTCCTTGTTCTCATCACAAAACCCTATAAATCTTACAATGTTCTTGTGTTGATACTGTGAAAGAATTGTGAGCTCAATGTGGAACTCCTTGTTACCTTGAAGCCCGGTGACATCTAGCCGTTTAACAGCAACTAGCTGGTTTACATGATTTGCCCAGGTGAAAATTCCCTTGTAGACCCTTCCATATCCACCCTTCGCAATGAAATTTGTTTCGCTGAAGTTTTGGGTACAACTTTTTATGGCCTGAAAAGGGATTTTGAAGAGGTTTGGTTGCTTCATCTGAGACATGATCTGGACTAATTAATATCGAACCCATCTGTAACAAACATACGTATATATACACTATTTCGGGAACTAACCTCTCGATGAAACCTCCGGTCTAGTGGTAGAGGAGTCCTTGCGGATATCCGTAATCTATGGTAGATGTGCTTAACAAAATCTTGAATAAACTTCGTTTCTCGCCTGAAATTATCTTGATTTTAATAATACACGCAAAACAGAATCCAAAAAAACTAACAAACCAATGTTGAAGATTTTATTTATCCAGAGTTCAAATAAAAATTACATCATGTTAAGCTATTATGTTTAATTAAGTTTTCCATATAATATTTGCACTTGTAACCACATAGATATATAATGTGTATGGGCATAACGTTTATGTATAAAATTAAAATCATAAAATGGTTTATCTAAATAACATAGCTTGTGATAAAATAAAAAGTAAAGATTATGTTTCAACAAGACCATCAAACTGGTTATAGATGTGGGTTTGCATGAATCTCAACAAAATTGCCACAAAATAGTAAATCGTTCAAAATTTGGCTTTTAATAGAAAGGGTATAAAATTATTAAAATGGTTTACCTAAATAACTTAACTTGTGACAAAATAAAAAAGTTGTCACTACAATTATCCATCTATATATGATTTCATTAATTTATGATATCATATAATTGAAAACATAGATCAATTATGCATCTTCTTTATCTAATTTGAATAAATTAAAAATATGACTATATTTATCGATGTTGAAGAAGCCTATTGTAATGAATATAAATGAAGAAATTAGTGATTACCGATCGAAACCTAATTGCATCCCTTTTAATGTAGAAACTTGTGTACATGCTTTATTCCACCTGTCAATCTTTTCAGCCAATTGACTTCTTTTATCTTCATTTGTCATTGCCTCCATCACACGTCTATACCTAGCCATCGCATCTTCTAAGAAACTGGGCTTAACATGATAAAAGATGGGGATAACCGTTAAATGTTGCTTGAGGATAAGTGCCAATCCATTAAGGCACCATTGTGAATCAGCATAATTCTCGGACAACACTACAACAGAAGCCCTAGATGCTTTAATGGCACTCTCCCATCCTGGTTTCAAATATACCCCTGTTTCAATCAAATCATCATCAAAGAAGGTAGTGATATTGGCATGCTTGATGGCGTTACAAAGATGGTCTGTGAAACTGCGACCTGTGTCCTTACTGCAAAAGCTTAAAAATACGTCATACTTATACTTATTATGACCATGAATTGGTGAAGAAGATGAAGATCGTTGTTTGGTATGATTGAGGATAACCATTTTGGATTATTTTAGAAGAAATTTACAATTAGAGTAAGAGTAATGGGTGCAGCTAAGTAGTGGTTTTTCTAAAATGGGTGCAGCTAAGTAATGGTTTTTCTAAAGGAAGTCAAAGTCAACAACTACTTTTGATAATGATGTATCTCTTCTTTTTCTTTTTCTTTTTATGAATTTTCTTGGAAACATACGAGTTGGGAAATCGAGATAACAAATTACCAAGAAATTGGTTCTAGATATATGACGTTGAGGATTACATCATATACTAAAATTTTATTTTGAGAAATATTTGTACAGAAAAACACAACTTTTCAAAATCTGGATCCTAATGTTTCGAGTAAATTAACTTCGGTAATTATGTATTTTGGAGTAAACTATAAAAATGGTCCATTTCGTTGAAAGAAACCACTATTGGAAAATCCATCCTTTGGGTAAGATGATTCTACAAGTACATTTCACATCTAAATTTCAATCTAACCTACTACCAAATAAAGTAAGAATTCACATACCACGACTTAGGCACCGACTTTTCCCTTCTCAACAAAGGAAGCAGCGAGCGTGGACATATAAACAAACAATAAACTCTTAATACAGAAGATTGAACACGCACAAAAACATTCAAAACCCTAACATATTTTTAAGATAAATGGAATAAATTCTTAATACCGAAAAAAGTGATTACTTAAACGAATTCGGAAGTGGGTATGATGTGAATTTTAAAGAAACAACAAAGGGGTTTTCGCAGATCATGTGACGTGGGGAGGACTGTGAAAAGTCACCTGTTTTTCCTCAATCGATCTATCGTTTTCTCCTAGATCGTATCACCTGTGTAGGTGAACGATATGAGTTCAGGGATGGAGTTGGAAGGGGGGAGGGGAGCAGGAGAGTGGTCGTGTGTTGGAGACAGAGGAGGGAGAGGTTGGAATGGGGAGGGGCGTGGGTAGGGGACCATCACCATGCCCGTGGCAAGGAGTTGCTGTAATTTTAGTTCATAAAGGAGTTGCTATCTCTTTCTCTTTTAATAAAATACAAACCAACAAGTATATCTTAATAATATTTATTTAAAGGGAAATTGAAAAATCTAATTATTTTTTGTGGTTTTTTTTTTGAAAAGATAACCGGTTTAAATTTATATTTGAAAATTGAATATTTGGTTCGGAATGTTCATTTCGGGCCTGAATTCCAAACAGTGAACAGGTAAAATGGTTTGACACGGTAATGTAGTCCCCTGTATATAACATGTCGGACCATTGTTTCGAACTTACTATTTCGGAATTCGGACGTCATTCTCAGAGTCTAAACTCATTGTTCCTAACTACATCAATTTAAAAAAATGTCTTGTTTTAGCAGTGAAGATATATATATATATATATATATATATATATATATATATATATATATATATATATATATATATATATATATATATATATATATATATATATATATATTTGGATATGTGTCGACTCCTTGTATGATTATATGCTTTTATTTTTTTAATATATCTTAAAAGTAAGAAATTTTCATTTTTTTTATAAATTGATGCAATTACAAATATAAGTCGTTTTCCTTCGAATTTTAGTTGTTTTTAGCCTTTTTTATGATTATATGTGGGTATATGTAAGTACTAGAACAACTAAATTTAAAAAGGAATAAATACTTTTGAATTTGTCTGAAACAAGTCCAAAATACGTTGATCCGAAATGTGTAGAATTGTTCTAAAATATGTAGAACATCTCCAGAATATCGAGAACTGTTCCAAAATATAGTCTGGAATGATGTCCTTACTCCAGAATGGTGTCCTTTTAGTCCCTAACATGCAACACTTTCCTAGTTAAAATTCTTTTCATTGTAGCATGACCGAACATATGAAGCAGTTACGACTACAACCTGCAAAATTAAACTTGATGGAGAAATCATCACCCGTCTACACAACCCCGAACATGCGGCCATGTTTAGGGCTTCCTGTTTTGTTGTTTATGTTAACATGTCGATGTGGGTAGAATTTCATATGTTACTATGTCGTTACCTTATGTGCAAGGAGGCTACTACTTATCCTCATGTTGATCTGGAGGATCTTCTATTCCCTATAGGCGACTACTGGGTTTGCTTTGACAAGAGAGCTTTCTGCCTTATTACCGGGTTTTAGTTTATGGACTATCTTTGGGCTACTTCTTCTTTGACACAGTTCAAGCAATGTGTATTTCCATTTGTCTTGGGTTCAAAGTCAGTGAAAGTGCTGACGTTATTCAAGTGTTTAATACTTCACTTCATCGCTTATTAGAAGGAGACGTTATAAGAGTCTCCTTGATGTATATGATAGAGTAGGGATTTTTTGGAAGATACCCTCAACAACCGGTTCAAGATGAATATCTTGCACTCGTCTCTGATTTGGATGAGTTTAAAAGGTATAAAGTTATTTAGATTATAGTGAATGTATATTATATCAAAAATCTATTAATTTATAGTTATTAAATGCTACTGTTGACATATGTACCCATAGGGAAGAGCGGTATGTGATTTGGCTTACAAGTAGTTGAATGTTGTCTTTACCTACATATATTATGCAAGGATTTGTTTATGTATTTAAGGTATGTGCACTATATTTCATAAGACTTTTTCTACAAAATGTATTTTCACATTATTATGTTTGTTAGTTATTTGAAATCTTAATTTTGTAGATTTGGATCATGGAGACATTTCCCAACAGTAGGATAGATGGTACCCCTCGGGCAGTTGCATACCCTCGGTTGAGGCGTTTACTGGCTGATGGTTGTGCACGTGTGCTTGATGTTACTAATGTCTGTATCTTAGTTTAACTTTTATTATATAAGTTTCTATGATAGAATTGATTTATTGTTTTATGGAGCTTCCCCATAATGAGATGTTGCAACCTACTCTGCAGGAGTGTGCTGCTTTGTGGTGGTCTGAGAGTTGGCCATGGATGGAGACTGCAAATTTACCTGACATTTGAGTTTTGGCGTTTGTGTATGTTGTAGACAATTTCCTTATGATAATGTAGTATAAACAAGTTTATTTGACCGAACACAACTTTTTTAACATTTTTAGAATTTTTTAATTTGGTACAAACATGACTAAGGATACTTTAGATCAACAATATCATACTCTTGACTACTTTGCTTACTAGCTTTCACATTATATCTATTATTAGACTTACTCTTACTTTTGACACTTGACTTAGTCTTACTTGAAGATTCCATTTTATTGAATTTGCTGGAAACTGAGCGTCACAATTACTGATTGTGTGATCGATCCTTAGGTAGCAAATGGTTTTTTTTCTAAATCGGATCTTCACGTTGGGATGGGATACAATTATGCTTTCATGGAAGTCTGGCTTGTCCTTTGTCCATCAATGGTGGTAATACAACCAGGAATTCTTCCGGTTGTTCGTATTCAGTTGGAACTGGCATAGGAAACGCAACCTCTATATATGTTGCTCAATATGTTTCCATTGTGAAGTACGACGACACCCATTTATTGTAGTGTTGATATCTCAATTCCTTGAGTACCGCCATAGCATGAGAACAAGGTATACCCGACAATTTTCATTTCCCACATGTACAGAAACAATATTCCAAGTTGACTATACCATTTTTCATTTGATCAGTCACTTCAATTTGTTTGTATCAATCAGGTATACCCGAAAAACGGAGGATTTGTTGATCCTCTTTTTTGATAACTTTCTTAGCATACTCAATAACATGTTTTTCACTTTGAGCTATAAAAAAATACAAACATATTGTCATGAATAGTAAGTTATGGTAAAATAATTTGAAATTACTATAATTTATATAAGGTACCTCCACTATTATGTCGTTGACATCATCATTATTACATTGTTGCTCGAAAGAAGTCAAACAACATTGCTAATGGAAGTTTTTGTGCGTCTTTTGATAACGCATTGATAGAATAGGAATTGTTTGATGTCATTAAATTATAATGAACCACAAGGAAAAACGACCTTGCCCATTTATGGTTACCTATTACGTCTATCTATGTATGACGGTCATCATATAGTGTACATCATAATCTAGCCAAGCTTTCTTTGAAATCAGACTCCCAATAAGCTTTTGCAGCCTCCAAAAATAAATTTTCGGTTGTCTTGTTTTCCGATCTTTGCTCTTATATTCATCAACAAATGACGACAATAGAGTGTGTGGGTAAGATGACTTAAATGGCCATTTCAATGGAATTGGCTCTATCATATATGATAGCCAAATAGTCCATATCCATATTACAGTCTTTGAGTCTTGATATAAAACAATATCCATGTTTTTCCAACACCAAATGCTATAGGGAGGATTCAATTATTACCGTCCCTGCCTACTACTAAGAACATCACACCCAAGTATTTCCCTTTTTAGATGTGGTCTAGCAATACTAATAATAGGATGCAAATGTGTTTAAATGCTTGAACCTACTATAACGCTTGGTTCCTGATATGCATTTAATTTATAATTTATTCATGTTTATAGAGCAACTCGACGAGTTGGAAGCTCCAAACTCGTCGAGTTGAGATTATCAGGACCGCGTGATTTAAGTAACCTAGTCGACGAGTTGAGAGGCCTCAACTCGACGAGCAGACCGGCTGGGAGGAAACCCTAATTTCTAGGGTTCTGCACCCTATTTAAAGGAATTAATCCTTCCCCACCAGCCCTCATCAGCCTCCTTAAAACCCTAAATCGTATTGTGAGCTCCTTGTTGAGAAACTAGAGGTTTTGAGTGCATTTTTGTGTGTTCTTGTGCTTGGTGAAGGACTTGGAAGAACTAGAAGGTCATTGAGCTTGAGGAGAAGCACTAGATCTAGGATCTCGTCCATCTTTCGCAACTTTCTGAGGTAAAAAGTCTCAAACTTGATGATTAATAGCTTAGATCTATATTAATGTTGTCTTATGGATCTTTTTGGACGCCATTGTTGGAGCATGATAACCTTCATAGTCCCGATGCTACAAAATTCTATTCTTAGTGTTACTTGGTCCTTAAATTCATAAAAAGGGTCCTAAACCTGTTCATGTC